AAGTATTTGATATATACTCTGAATTTTATTTCTCCAAGTAATTCCAAATGATGCTTGTGAAACAAATGGACTTTTTCTTAGTATGTTATGACACTTATAATTACACATCTAGCCCCACTGCATCTAGCCCCACTGCAATTCCCTAACAGCTAAAATGAAAAAAAAAAGTCACTTAACTGAGAAATAATACAAATTCATCACTAGTGACTTTTTTTTCTTTTGTTTTAGAAAAACAGACGTCTCAATAATTACCCTAGACATGTTACAGACAATATATACTTGCTATGGTTGGCCCTATTCAAAGAAATACATATATTTAAAGGGGCAGGTTATTGTGTACACCAGCTTAAGTGGGCTTGGCCTGTAATTTTAATACCAATACATATTTGTCCCATGTGCTCTTTATATTTGCCTATAACACCAAGTTCTTTTCTTCTGGGAGTTTCTGTTCTAATTTGTTTTTATAAACTATATATACTTTTAGAAGGTCCAGGGAGTGGATGAAATTATAGAATTATGTAATTTATCTAAGTGCATGTATATCCTAAATATATTTGTATATTGATATATCTATAATCCACTACTCACTTATAAACGGACACCACAATTTGACTAAAAAAATAAAAATTATTCATGCCAGCAAATTTTGCAAGTTTTTAATGTGAAAATTATATCATTAAAAGTAATTTTATGTCGTGCTCACTGAATTAGTCTGTATAGCCATGAATCCCCACATCAGAAAGAAATCCTATAACTTCAGTTTCCCTAAGATGGACTATATTATGCTAAAAAAGTATACTAACAAACATTAAACATAAACAACAAGGCTATGTTGACTGGGTCCGTGGTGAAAATGAACCTCCATCATCCTATCTACCAGTGTGTTCTTACTAATGTGCCATCTAAATGCTACACAGGGGTGGCTGAATATATGTCTCCTCAGTTTCTTTCCTCATATTTTCACATATAGAAACCTGTACTTACCTGCAGCATAGAACATATAGAAATAAAAATTTAGCCAACATTCTGTAACTGGTATTACAGTTCTAAGAGGGACGTTTATAGCAATACAGGCCTGCCTCAAGAAGTAAGAAAAATGTCAAAAGACGTAACCTTACATCTAAAGGAACTAGATAAAGAACAAACAAAACCCCAAACCAGCAGAAGGAAGGAAATAATAACGGTTAGAGCAGAAATAAGTGATTTAGAAACAAAAAATAGAACAGATCAATGAAACCAGGAGCTGGTTCATTGACAAGATCAACAAAATTGATAAACCTCTAACCAGACTCATAAAAAAAAGGTCCAAATAAAATAGAAGTAACATCACAGAAATATAATTGTAAGAGGTTATGAAAGATTATATGCTGACAAATTGGACAACCTAGAATAAATTTTTAGAAGCATAGCCTACCAAAACTGAAATAGGAAGAAATAGAAAATTCGAACAGACCAATTACTAGTAAAGAACATGAATCAGTAATAAACTCCCAATAAACAAAAGTCCAGGACTAGATGGCTTCAGAGGTAATTCTACCAAACTTTTATAGAATTAATACCTACTCTTCTCAAGTCCAAAAAATAGAAGAGGGAAAACTTCCAAATTCATTCTGTGAGGCCAGCATCACCCTGATACCAAAATCAGATAGATAAAGACACCACCAAAAAAGTGAACTACAGGCCAATATCTCTGATGAACATAGATGCAGAAATCAAAATACTAGCAAACAATCCAACAATACATTAAAAAAAATCATTCACCACAATCAAGTGGGATTTATTCCCAGGATGCAAGGGTGGTTTGATATTCACAAATCAATCAACATCATATATCACGTCAATAAGAGGATAAAAACGATTTCATCTTAATAGATGCAGATGTTGACAAAGTACATCTATTCATGATAAAAAACCCTCAACAAAATAGGTCTAGAGGGAACATACCCCAACATAATAAAGGCCATATATAAAAAACCCACAGTGAACTCAATGGGGAAAAACCAAAAGCTTTTTCCCTAAGATCAGGAACAAGACAAGATGTCCACTCTCCCCACTTTTATTCAACATAGTACTGGAAGTCCTAGCCACAGTGGTTAGACAACAAAAAGAAAAGGCATCCAAATTGGTAAGGAAGAAGTAAAACTTCCACTACATGCAGATGACATGATACTGTATATAGAAAGTCCTAAAGACTCTACCAAAAAACTGCTAGAACTGATAAACGAGCTCAGTAAAGTTGCAGGATACAAAATCAATGTACAGAAATCTGTTGCATTCCTATACACTAATAATGAAGCAGCAGAAAGGACTTTAAAAGAAAGAGAGGCAAACCAAGAAACAGACTCTTAACTATAGAGAATAAACTGATGGATACCAGAGGGGAGATGGGTGGGGAGATGGGTTAAATAGGTGATGGGGATTAAGGAGTGCACTTGTGATGAGCACCAGGTGATGTATGGAAGTATTGAATCACTATACACCTGAAACTAATATTACACTACGTTAACTAAGTGGAATTAAAAAAAAAAAACTTAAACCCTCCCATTTACAATTGCACCAAAAATAACAAAATATCTAGGAATAAACTTAACCAGAGAGGTGAAAGACCTGTCCTCTGAAAACTATAAAACAGGAAATTGAAGATGACACAAAGAAATGGAAAGACATTCCAGGCTCATGGATTGGAAAAACAAATATTGTTAAAAAGTCTATACTACCCAAAGCAGTCTACAGATTTAATGCAATCCCTATCAAAACACAGCATTTTTCATGGAACTAGAACAAACAATCCTAGAATTTGTATGGAACCACAGAAGACCCTAAATAGCCAAAGCAATCTTGAAAAAGAAAAAACTGGAGGTATCACAATTTCAGGCTTCAAGTTACATTACAAAGCTGTAGTAATCAAAATGGTATGGTACTGGCATAAAAATAGACACTTAGCTCAGTGGAACAGACTAGAAAACCCAGAAATAAACCCACAATTAAATGGTCAATTAATCTTTAACAAAAGAGGCAAGAATATACAATGGGGAAAAAGTCTCTTCAACCAATGGTGTTGGGAAAACTGGACCACTTTCTTACACCATACACAAAAATAAAATGGATTAAGAACCTAAATGTGAGATCTGAAACTATATACAAATCCTAGAAGAGAGCACAAGTGGTAATCTCTGACATCAACTACCGCAACATTTTTCTAGATTATGTCTCCTGAGGCAAGGGAAACAAAAACAAAAAAAATAAATTATTGGGACTACATCAAAAAAAAAGATGCACAGCAAAGGAAACAATCATCAAAACTAAAAGGCAGCCTACTGAATCGGAGAAGACATTTGCAAATGACACATCCAATAAAGGATTAGTATCAAAATAGATGAAGAACTGATACAGCTCAACACCCAAGAAACAAATAATCCAATTAAACAATGGGCAGAAGACATGAACAGACATTTCTCCAAAGAAGACATACAGGTGGCCAACAGACACATGAAAAGATTTCCCTCACTTATCAGGGAAATGCAAATCAAAACTATAATGAGATTCCTTACACCTTTCAGAATGGCTAAAATCAAAAACACTAGTGTTGGCGAGGATGTGGAGGAAAAGGAACACTTGTGCACTGTTGGGAATGCAAACTGGTGCAGTCACTGTGGAAAACAGTATGGAGGTTCCTCAAAAAGTTAAAAATAGAACTACCATATAATCCAATAATCACACTACTGGGTATTTACCCCAAAAATACAAAACCCTAATTGAAAGTGCTATATTCACCCCTGTTTATTGCAGCATTATTATAGTAGCCAAATTATGGAAGCAGCTCAAGTGTCCATCAATAGATGAATGGATAAAGAAGTGGTATACATACACAAAGGAATATTCAGCCATAAAAAAGAAAAATCTTGCCATTTGCAACAACATGGGTGGATCTAGAGAGTATAATGCTAAGCGAAATAAGAGAAAGAAAAATACCATGTGATTTTACCCATATGTGGAACTTAACAAATAAGCAAAGGAAAAAAAGAGACAAACCAAGAAATAGAATCTTGACTATAGAGAACAAACTGCTGGATACCAGAGGGGAGGTGGGTTGGGCGATGGGTTATATAGGTGATGGGGATTAAGGAGTGCACTTGTGATGAGCACTGAGTGATGTATAGAATTGTTGAATCACTGTATTTTACACCTGAAACTAATATAAGACTGTATGTTAACTATAAGGCATTAAAATAAATAAATATGACTGCTTCTATCAGTGAGCCCCTCTTGGGTGTTTAGGACTGCACTAGGTTCAGTATGGAATCATAAGCCACTTGAAAACACTTTTAATTTCTTTTCCAGTGATAACATTAGCCAATAAATGGTAACCCTTAGCCAAGGTTTTGTGGAAAGAAGGACCGCAAGTCTCCCATTAATGATGACATTGCAACTGAAAGTTCTATTTCTGTCAACCGAAACCCCACTTCAGTGCAGGGCTCTACAAGTAAACAGACACTTAGCTGGCCTTGGGACTTATGCACAGGAACAGCTAACTTGCAGGTCAAGTACTGGGGTATTTTATTCAATGTAATTACTAAGACATTTTATGTATGTACTTATCTATAAAAAGAATTAGTTATCTTGAATTATTAGAGGTGGCATCTCTTGTTTTGACATGTAGAAGTGTAGTTTATACATTTAATGTAAAATCAATACAGAGTGAGAACTGATGTATTTCTGCTAATTGAAATTTTAAGGCTTGGGTTTAGTTTTTTAATTTATTTGGGGGGGTGTTATTTTTTTTTTTTAAACTGCCTTTCAGAATGCTTTTGAAAAGCAATATCAAGTCCAATGCTGGGACTTGAATTCATGATCCTGAGATCAAGACCTGAGCTGGGATCAAGAGTCAGACACTTTTGAGAAGCAATATTAAGCATATTAAGAAAGAATAGAATAGTAATATCAGTATTAAGAAAGAATGTAGACTGCATTGAGATTTTAGTTGGTAGGAAAAGTGAGAAATACTGAATCATATGTAACAAGTCAAACTTTAAGAAATACAGCTTACAGAATTATACCTTTTCATCCAGAACGGTTTGACTACCAGGTTCCTGTGAAAATTCCTTGTCCATAAAGGTCATATTCTTTGTAAAGGACATAGGCTTTGAGACGGTTTGGTAATGGAAGGAAGGACATGAAGACCGGGCAGCGCAGACGTAAGCGCCCCATACACTGCCGGATCTTCAGGCGGCACAGATGTCTGAGGGGTCGAGGGTTTGCTAAAATGAGAGAAACACACATTATCTGAAGGAAAAAGAACTGCTTCATTTGTTAGTGATGCTGGGGTTTAGTCAGCAAATGTGTGTTAAACTTAAGCCACCCAAATTTGCATCTGCGGTGTCTAAATGGAAAAGGTAACAGGGAACAGCCTTCCCTTCTCCTTGCAATCCTTCGTGTCGACGTGATTTCAGAACCAGGCCAGGCTAGGAGTCCAAAGAGTAGCGTCAGTTGTAGGTCTGAAGTCCTTAAATCTATGTGAATTAACCATCCCCTCGCCTTGCCCTGTCCCTCAGGGTCAGGCTTAGAACTAAAGATCACCACCCTGTGGAGAAACTAGATAAAAGAAATTCTTTACTGATGTGCTACTACTGTGAAAGAATGTGGTTTGAAGGGCCATTTGATATTCTCTGCAGGCTTCGATTTTACTTTTTCTCGTCCCTGTTTTCATTGCCATTTCATAGCTTCTAATTCCTGTATCTGCAGTGTTCCATACGATTAGGAGAAAGGTATTACCTACCATATAATATGTGAGTACCTAACAGTTTATCTACTGGGAAATGGTGATAAGTACAAATTAAGTGATAAATAGTAACTGTTTGGGACGCTTGGGTGGCTCAGTCGTTAAGCGTCTGCCTTCGACTCAGGTCATGATCCCAGGGTCCTGGGATCGAGTCCCACATCGGGCTCCTTGCTCAGCAAGGAGCCTGCTTCTCCCTCTGCCTGCTTCTGTCTCTCTCTCTCTGAAAAATAAATAAAATCTTTAAAAAAAAAATAGTAACTGTTTCTAGATAGGAATAGTATTTTCCTTGGTTTAAGGAAAGCTTTTAACCAGAAAAGAATGTTTTACAAAGCAAATAAGAATGTAAATACCTAGTAGTATTTTTGGTAAGAATCTTCTACAAGAAAGGATACTCACTCAAGATCAAATGGATTTCTGACCAGAGCCCCTGTTTTTGGAGCACAGCTTTCAACTTTGAACAGATTCGAACTTGATCGACGTAATCAAGCATCACTCGAACAACCTTCCCAGAGAGATGTTGCAGCCATGACAATGTTATTACTTCACAGAACTGAGGAAGAAAATTGGAACTATGAAAGTAAATGAGAAACTTAAGAATCTATGGGGTTTCTAGCACTCAACTCACAGTCAGGAACCAAGGTCTCAAGTCCCTCATTTATAAACTAAGGCATTGAACAGGGAATTATTTTTTTTTTAAAGATTCACTTATTTGGCAGGGGGGCAGAGGGAGAGAGAATCCTTAAGCAGAATCTCCACTGAGCACAGAGCCTGATGTGGGGCTCGATCCCAGGACCCTGAGATCATGACCTGAGCCGAAATCAAGAGTTGCCTGCTTAACTGACTGAGTCACCCAGGCGCCCCAAGGAAATTATTTCTTAGCTCTAACATTTGGAAAAATATTTACTACTGTATCTTCAGAACTATGTAAGATGTAACCAGGGTGTGAAAGAGATAGTTACCTAATACCTGTCATCCCCTTTGGTTGGCCACATGGCTATCTGGAATAAAGATCACCTTTCCAGCTTCCTTGCACCTAGACGTGGGCCACCTAACTAAGTTCTAGCAGTGAGATGAGAGTGGAAGTGTGAGCAACCCCCAGAATGCACTTAAAGAAGAGCAAGGTGTGAGCTGCTGCTTCCTGCCTGCCTCCTGGCGGGCTGGAGTGTGGCTGTAAGTTTCTCTTGTGATCGTGGAGCTGTCCAGTTAGAAGGCTGTTTATCTCTGGCCTTTACTTATATGAGTGGAGAAGGAGCCATCTTACTAAAGCCACTTTCATTTTGGGTTTTCTATCATTCATGCCTGAAGGATAAGATAGTTTCTGTCTGTAGGTAATTTACACACTCCTAGCAAGGTGCCCATGTAAGAAGTCAAATAGTACTAAATAAAAAGTCAGGAAATAATTCAAGATGATATGTACCTAAATGCCATCTCCTACATTAATTATAACCTAAAAATAATATACAATATTAAAACCATATGTTGCCTTTCACTTTTTAGAATTGATTCAAAGTGCTTTCTCCATTTCACTGTTTTATTTTTGTTTTGATTTTAATATGAACTCAGGTATTTCTAGTGCATCTACTATGTGCTAAGCACAGATCTCTAAGCTGAGGAAAGTGGTGAGCAGGAGTTTACACTGATGTATTTGTGGAGGAGACACAATCAGAAAATGTTAAAAAGATAATTTCAGAAAGTGGTAAGTGCTATAAAAGAAATGGGCAGCATAATAAGATTAGGGATGACAACTACCTTAGATAAGGTAGATGGGAAAGGAAGGGCCTCTTTGAGGAGGTAACACTTGAAACCTGAAAAGTGGCAGCTTTTTGAAAAGGCAGGAGTGTGCTCTAGTTGGGGGAAATAGAAGTGACCAGTTGGGGGAAAATAGACTGGTGTGATGAAAGCCAGGAGGAAAATGTCTCAAGAAGAAGGAGGTGGTCAAGTCCAAGATGGTGGAGGAGTTAGGAGACCTTAGTTTCATCTGGTCCCAGGAATTCAGCTAGATAGCTATCAAATCATTCTGAACACCTGTGAACTCAACCAGAGATCTAAGAGAAGAATAACTGTAATTCTACAAATAGAAAACTGACCACTTTCTGCAAGAATGACAAGACGGAAAAACTCACCTCAAAAAAAAAAAAAAAAAGAACAAGATGCCTTTGGCCCAGGTCATGATCCCAGGGTGCTGGGATCGAGCCCCACATCGGGCTCCTGGCTCAGCAGGGAGCCTGCTTCTCTTTCTCCCACTGCCTCTCTCCCTGCTCATGCTCTCTCTCTCTGTATCTCTGTGTCTCCAATGAATAAACAAAATCTTAAAAAAAAAAAAAAAAGAACAAGAGGCAGGACCAACTGCCAGGGTCCTAATCAGCATGGACAGAAGTAAGAACTCTATTGAAAATAGAGTTGAGAATAGTATAAAGAATACTAGCTGGGCTTGAAAAAAAAAGCTTAGGAGATACTACAGAATTCCTTTCTGGAGAAATAAGAGAACTAAAATCTAATCAAGACATCATCAAAAAGGCTATTAATGAGATGCAATAAAAAATGGAGGCTCTAACTGCTAGGATAAATGAGGCAGAAGAGAGAATTAGTGATATAGAATACAAAATGATGGAGAATAAAGAAGGTGAGAAAAAGATAAAAAACTACTGGATCATGAGGGGAGAATTCTAGGGGAGATAAGTGATAGCATAAAGTGAAACAATATTACAATAATTGGGATCCCAGAAGAAGAGGAAAGAGAGAAAGAGGTGCAGAAGGTATATTGGAACAAAGTATAGCAGAGAACTTTCCTAATCTGGGGAAGGAAACAGGCATTCAAGTCCAGGAGGCACAGAGAACCCCCCTCAAAATCAATAAAAATAGGTCAACACCCCGACATATAATAGTGAAACTTGCAAATCTCAGAGACAAAGAGAAAATCCTGAAAGCAGCTCTGGACAAGAGGCCCATAACCTACAAGGGTACAAACATTAGCCTGGCAGTGGACCTATCCACAAACCTGGCAGGCCAGAAAGGACTGGCATTATATATTCAGGGTGCTAAATGAGAAAAATATGCAGCCAAAATTACTTTATTGAGCTAGATGTCATTCAAAATATAAGGAGAGATAAAAAGCTTCCAGGACAAACAGAAACTAAAAGAATTTGTGATCATTAAACCAACCCTGCAAAGAATATTAAAGGGGATTCTTTAAGTGAAAAGAGAGCCCCAAAGTAACACAGACCAGAAAGGAACACAGACAATATACAGAAACAAGAGACTTTATGGGTAGTACAATAGCACTAAATTCATATCTTTCAATGTGACTCTGAATGTAAATGGGCTAAATGCCCCAATCAAAAGACACAGGGTATCAGATTGGATAAAAAAGCAAGACCCATCAATATGCTGTCTGCAAGAGACTCATTTTAGACCCAAAGACACCTCCAGATTGAAAGTGAGGGGGTGGAAAACCACTGATCATGCTAATGGACTTCAAAAGAAGGCTGGGGTAGCAATCCGTATATCAGACAAATTAGATTTTAAACCAAAGACTGTAATAAGAGATGAGGAAGGACACTATATCATAATTAAAGGGTCTATCAAACAAGATCTAACAATTGTAAATATTTATGCCCCTAACATGGGAGCAGCCATTATATAAACCAATTAATAACAAAATTAAAGAAACACATTGATAATAATACAATAATATCGGGACTTTAACACCCCCCTCACTGCAATGGACAGATCATCTAAGCAGAAGATGAACAAGGAAACAAGAGCTCTGAATGACACACTGGACCAGACGGACTTCACAGATACATTCAGAGCATTCCATCCTAAAGCAACAGAATACACGTCCTTCTTGAGTGCACATGGAACATTCTCCAGAATAGATCACATACTGGGTCACAAACCCAGTCTCAAACAGTACCAAAAGATTAGGATCATTCCTTGCATATTTTTGGACCACAGTGCTTTGGAACCGGAACTCAATCACAAGAGGAAATTTGGAAAGAACTCAAATACAGGGAAGCCTGGGTGGCTCCAGTTAAGCGTCTACCTTTGGCTCAGGTCATGATTCCAGAGCTCTCATTCAGCGGGGAGCCTGCTTCTACCTCTGCCTGCCACTCCCCCTGCTTGTGTGTGTGTGCACACATGCATGCTCTCTCTCTCTCTCTCTCTCTCTCTCTGGCAAATAAATAAAAATCTTAAAAAAAAAAAAAAAGAACTCAAATACATGGAGGCTAAAGAGCATCCTACTAGAGAATGCATGGGTCAACCAGGAAATTAAGAATTTTAAAAATTCATGGAAACAAATGAAAACAAAAGCCAACTGTTCAAAACCTTTGGGATGCAGCAAAGGTGGTCCTAAGAGAGAAGTATATAGCAATACAAGCCTTTCTCAAGGAACAAGAAAGGTCTCAAATACACAACCTAATCTTACGCCTAAAGGAGCTGGAGAAAGAACAGCAAATAAAGCCTACACCCAGCAGGAGAATAGAATTCATAAAGATTAGAGCAGAAATCAATGCAATAGAAACCAAAAGAACAGTAGAACAGATGAAAAAAACTAGGAGCTGGTTCCTTGAAAGAATTAGTAAGATTGATAAACCCCTGGACAGAGTTATCAAAAAGAAAAAAGACCCAAATAAATGTAATCATAAATGAAAGAGGAGAGATCACATCCAACACTGAAGAAATACATTATAAGAACTTATTATGAGCAACTTTATGCCAACAAATTAGGCAATCTGGAAGATGGATGCATTCCTAGAGATGTATAAGCTCCCAAAATGGAAACAGAAAGAAATAGAAAACATGAACAGACTCATAACAAGCAAGGAAATTGAAGCAGTAATCAAAAATCTCCCAACAAACAAGATCCCAGGGCTGGATGGCTTCCCAGGGGAATTCTACCAAACATTTAAAGAAGAATTAATACCTATTCTTCTGAAACTGATTGAAAAAAATAGAAATGGAAGGAAAACAACCAAACTCTTTTTATGAGGCCAGCATTCCCTTGATCCCAAAACCAGGCAAAGACCCCACCACAAAGGAGAATTACAGACCAATATCCCTGATGAACATGGATACAAAAATTCTCACCAAAATACTAGCCAATAGGATCCAACAGTACATTAAAAGGATTATTCACCACGACCAACTGGGATTTATTCCTGGGCTGCAAGGTTGGTTCAACATCTGCAAATCAATGTGATACACTACATTAATAAAAGAAAGGACAAGAACCCCATGATCCTCTCAATAGATGCAGAAAAAGCATTTGACAAAGTACAGCATCCTTTCTTGATTAAAATTCTTCACAGTGTAGGGACATCTGGGTGGCTCAGTCAGTTAAGCATCTGCCTTCGGCTCAGGTCATGATCCCAGGGTCCTGGGATCCAGTCCCACATTGGGCTCCCTCCTCAGCAGGAGGCCTGCTTCTCCCTCTGCCTGCTGCGTCCACTGCTTGTGCACACACTCTCTCTGACAAAAAAACAAAAACAAAAAACAAAAAACTCTTCACAGTGTAGAGATAGAGGGAACATACCTCTGTATCATAAAAGCCATCTACAAAAAGCCCACAGAGAATATCATTCTCAATGGGGAAAAACTGAGAGCTTTCCCCCTAAGGTCAGGAACATGGCAGGGATGTCCACTCTCACCACTGCTGTTCAACATAGTATTAGAAGTCCTAGCCTCGGCAATCAGACAACAAAAAGAAATGAAAGGCATCCAAATCAGCAAAGAAGAAGTCAAACTCTTACTCTTTGCAGATGATATGATACTCTATGTGGAAGACTCAAAAGACTCCACCCTAAAATTGCTAGAACTCATACAGAAATCAGTTGTATCCTATATACTAACAGTGAGACAGAAGAAAGAGAAATTAAGGAGTCAATCCCATTATAATTATACCAAAATCATAAGATACCTAGGAATAAATCTAACCAAAGAGGCAAAGGATCTGTACTCAGAAAACTATAGAATACTTATGAAAGAAATTGAAAAATGCTCCATGCTCATGGATTAGAAGAACAAATATTGTTAAAATATCTATGCTACCTAACAAACACTGAATCATGGAACACTACATCAAAAACTAATGATGTAATGTATGGTGATTAACATAACAATAAAAAATTTAAAAAATGTCTATGCTACCTAGAGCAATCTATACATTCAGTGCAATCTCTATCAAAATACCATCAACTTTTTTCACAGAGCTGAACAAATAATCCTAAAATTTGTATGGAACAAGAAAAGACTCCACATAGCCAAAGGAATGTTGAAAAAGAAAACCAAAGCTTGTGGCATCACAATTCCAGACTTCAAGCTCTATTACAAAGCTATTATCATCAAGACAGCATGGTCCTGACACAAAAACAGACACATAGATCAATGGAACAGAATAGAGAGCCCAGAAATAGACCCTCAACAATCTGGTCAACTAATCTTTGACAAAGCAGGAAAGAATATCCAATGGAAAAAAGACAGTCTCTTCAACAAATGGGGCTGGGAAAATTGGACAGCCACATCCAGAAGAATGAAACTGGATCATTTTTTTACACCATACACAAAAATAAACTTAAAATGGACGAAAGACCTAAATGTGAGACAGGAATCCATCAAAATCCTAGAGGAGAACACAGGCAGCAACTTCTGTGACCTTGGCTACAGCAACTTCTTCCTAGAAATATCACCAAAGTCAAGGGAAACAAAGGCAAAAATGAACTATCGGGACTTCATCAAGATAAAAAGCTTTGGCACAGCAAAGGAAACAGTTGAGAAAACCAAAAGGCAACAGAATGGGAGAAGATATTTTCAAATGACATATCAGATAAAGGGCTAGTATCCAAAATCTATAAAGAACTTACCAAACTCAACACCCAAAGAACAAATAATCCAGTCAAGAAATGGGCAGAAGACATGAACAGACATTTCTGCAAAGAAGACGTCCAAATGGCTTACAGACACATAAAAAAGTGCTCAGTGTCACTCGACATCAGGGAAATCCAAATCAAAACCTCAATGAGATACCACCTCACCAGTCAGAATGGCTGAAATTAACAAGTCAGGAAACGACAGATGTTGGCAAGGATGCGGAGAAAGGGGAACCCTCCTACACTGTTGGTGGGAATGCAAGCTGGTGCAACCACTCTGGAAAACAGTATGGAGGTTCCTCAAAAAGTTGAAAATAGAGCTACCCTACGACCCCGCAATTGCACTACTGGGTACTTATCCAAAGGATACAAACATAGTGATTCAAAGGGGCACATGTACCCCAGTGTTTACAGCAGCAATGTCCACAATAGCCAAACTACGGAAAGAGCCCAAATGTCCATTGACAGATGAATGGATAAAGAAGATGTGATACACACACACACACACACACACACACACACACACACAATGGGATACTACTCAGCCATCAAAAATTTGAAATCTTGCCATTTGTAAACAATGTGGATGGGTATTAAGCTAAGTGAAATAAGTCAATCAGAGAAAGACAACTATCGTATAATCTCATGTGGAATTTAAGAAACAAAACAGAGGATCATAGGGGAAGAGAGAAAAAAATAAAACAAGACAAAATCAGAGAGGGAGACAAACCATAAGAGACTCTTAATCATAGGAAACAAACAGGGTTGCTAGGGGGTGGGCGGATGGAGTAACTGGGTGATGGGCATTAAGGAGGGCACTTGATGTAATGAGCACTGGGTATTATATAAGACTGATGAATCACTGACCTCTGCCTCTGAAACTAATAATTCATTATATGTTAATTGAATTTAAATAAAAAAATAAGAGGTGGTCAACTATTTATTGTGATTCCTTTTTCATCAAAAAGGTGACCAAAGAGGGGCACCTAGGTGGCTCAGTCGGTTGAGCATCTGCCTTCAACTCAGGTCATGATCTCAGGGTCCTGGGATTGAGCTCTGTGTCAGGCTCCCTGCTCAATGGGGAGTCTGCTTCTCCCTCTGCCCCTCCCCCTTCTCGTGCTGTCTTTCTCTCAAATAAATAAATCTTTAAAAAAAAAAGGTGACCAAAGAGACCTATTTAATCAAATTTTAGAGCTAAAAGAGATAGCCAAGAACCAAGGGGGTATGGATATCAGTACCCCAGAAACGTTTTAGCTAGGTTACTCACCCCTTCAAAGAAAAAGTGTGATTAGTTTATAAGACCGCATTCATTTTTAAAACCTTACTCAGATGCTACTTCATTTGTGAAGTTCCCCAGGTAAAGTTAAATCACTTTCCCTCTGAACAGTTTCTGTACTTTTTACATCTCTTTATCATGTCTATTTTACATGTATTTATCATATTAAAATCTCTTCAACTTGAGCTTCTGGAGAGAATGGATGGGGCCTTATCTATTGCTGTAGTTCAGGGCCACCAATAATGACTATATAAGTTGATACAATACTGTGCACATACCATAGTATCTTTGATAACTGTAGATGTCCAGCCTTCAAAAGTATAGCAAGGATGAACTTTGTCTCCATGAGGACAATCAAAGCATCGCTCTATGTCATACCCATAATTCAATAGCATCCTGAGCATGACTTCATCTTTCAGTGTGTATTGCAGTGCTGATGGGAAATGTAAAGGGTTGACTCTGCAGAAATAATTGACGTTGGCCCCATGACGTAGCAGCAGACTTATCAGCTCATAGTTGCCCATCCGTAGGGCTATCTGGAGGCAGTTAACTGGGTCCTGGTTAGGCAGAGCTCCAGCACTCAGAAGCAGCTTAACTGAAGAGAGGTCACCATTTGATACAGCAAAATACAAAGCTGACTTCCTGTGGTCATCATAGTGTTTGCGAATTCTCTGATCTAGCATGAAATTTACATCAAATCCCGCCTGGATGAGGAGTTCCAGGCATTCGGGGTGTGCCCCTGCTGCTGCACAGTGGACGGGACTGATGCCACTCCGCTTAATGGCAGCAAGATCTGTCACTGGAACCAAAATCTTTAGGGCTCTGAGAAAGAATTTCAAAATGCATTTAAAACATTGTTTTTGTTAAGACACAGCATTAACCTGTTTACAATGGTTTTATACTAGTACCAGATGGTATTAGTATCAGGTGGCATTAGGACCCCCAACCAAAAAGTACATAATCCCTGTATCCAAAAGCCAGATACTTAGTAAAGTTAAATGAAACTACTGTCTAGATACAAAACTCGGAATTAGCCTAATCAGTGAGACCTGGGGTTCCCCATATTGCCCAAGGACCTGATAATAAAGTAGTTTTATGTCTTGGTCGTGGCTACAGAGGATGCCTGCCTTCACCACTTTCTAGCTGGTTGAGAGTTTCCTGTCTCTAGAAGGGATGTTGGAATTGTAGGATCAGAGATGAAGTAATACAAAGTTCCCAGAAGCTGCCCCGAAAACCCCCTTAGCTCTTACTATTTCTATCAGCACTAATGTCAGTGAACTTACAACAAGTGGCCTCTGTCAGCTGCCACATGAATGGGCAGGTGGCCTGAATTCTTGGGGATGTTGGCATCAGCTCCATGCTCTAGTAGAAGAGCCACAGAGTCTGGATTTCCTCCACTAGCAGCTTCAAGTAAGATGGAAGAAGAGTCTGAGGCCTGACCAAGAGCATTAGCTCCTAAAAGGAGAAAAAGTCTTGTTATGCAAAAAAAGTCTTTTCCACTGTATTGCTTATGCATTCTTAATATATCAGCACTACCCAGAAGCAATTATTAGGAAGCCACTTTAGCAAAGCACTGCAAATCGAAGAAATAAAAAATGTACCTCCTGCTCTCAGCCAGTTTATAATGTAGTTGGGGAAGGAAGAAATGGTGCAAACAGTTTCTAACTTATGAGTAAGTTGGCTTTCAGAGGAATTTTATAAGTTATTTGTTTGGAACTTGGAGATTACAGGAGAAATAATTTTATAAAAGGTGATTTTATTTCCAGACCCACCTATAAAAGCCCACTTACCCCATACTTATATATAGGATGGTACCAACAATCCTGTTGGACAGTAGCACCCGGCCATCTGTTGATGTCACGGTGGAAAATGGCATTTATTCTGTTTAAACATGTTCTTAGCGGGCTGTTCATAGCAAGACACACTGTAGTTGTTTGTAGTTGAACTTGGGGACTTAGAGTTAACAGGACACATTGTAGCGCCCATAGGACACTGAGTGCCATGTGATGGTGTGGATAGTAAGAGTACAAATAGAGGTAAAATGTCCTCAGTTCCGGATTTTGAGGGAAACTGGGTGGTGAAGGAAGGAGAAAGGTGTTTTGGGTCAGTTGCGGAAGGCCTCTCAGTAAAATGGGTTTTGAAGAAAGAGTAGCCTTTGAAAGGACAAAGGGCAAAAGTAGCATCCTGGGCACATTCACAGCACATATAAAACAGAGGTAGTGGCTTTAAATTAGTGGAAACTCCACAGTCATCAGAATATAGTGGCTGCCCAAGAACCCCATTCCTAGAACGCATGAAGAAAGGTCTAATAAGCTTCCATGGAAAGAGTGGTCACTATGTACAGTTTCCTTTATGTGCATAATTTCCAAACTTCCCATCAACCCTAACAAGTAGATGCCAGTATCTCCATTCTAAAGATGAAAAAACCGAGGTTCATGGAGGTTAGGTGACTTCCCCAGAGATGCACAGCTGGTAAGCAAGGTAGTCAGGATTCACATGAAGTTGGGCCAGACCCAGGGCCTGTTTCTATGATGCCTTGTTGCCAGTCTAGTAATGCAGGGTGGTGAAGTAGTGACTTGGAATGAGACAGATGTGGGTTCAAATCTTGGCTCTGCCATTTCCTCACTGTGTCACTTTGTGCAAATTACTTCATAAGGGAGTTACCTCAGGGAAATACCTCACTGAGGTCAACTGATGCTGGTTTCTTTTAAGAGTTAAGGATTTAAAACCGGGTGCCTCTCCTCTTTCGTTGCTTTTTTTTGTATAGATGAAGGATCCAGTGTTTACATGACTTTAGACATTGCTTATTTAAAGATATTGCTTATTTAAACCATCTTACTTAAAACGTCTTATGGCCACTAATTGAAAACTACAACAGCCTCGCCTGTATGATGGGAAAGTTCAAGGTAAGTCTTAAAAAGCAGAAATTTGTTCTTAAAAACAGGAGACCCTGTAGTCTAGAATATTGGAGACCAGGACCATATATTGTTAAAGAAAGAAATAAGGCTTCTGGACAGGAAGGAGAATAAAGAAGGTAAATCTAATATTGGGACTTTATTAAATCTTGGTAAAGATTTGCTTCTTTGACAAAAAGCTCTAGATCCTACATTGCTTCATCAATGGAGGGTCTCCTCAAAGACAATAAATGCCAAAGTTCTCTGAGCCAAGGTCTCTGCCAGTTAAATCAGGATCTCGAATTGGCAGCAGGGGAGGGTGTGTTTAAAGGAAGTCCTCCAACTGGTATCATCCCTAGCTCTCTTTCTTAAGTGTAAAATGAGGACAGTGCCTACTTCATAGGGCTTTAGAAGATCACATGAAGCAGCATAGGTAGCTTAATGGATGGTACTTAGAAAGTACTCAATAAATCTAAGTTGCCTTCCCCTTCTCTCAGCTGTGGTTATTACCGGAGAGACTACTGGGACCCAGAGAGAAGTAACCAGGAAGCAGTTCCTAACAACGGAAACATTTGATAACACACTGGACTGCCCCGTGACTTAGCTTAGCAGAGACAACCTATAGGGGGTAATGTGGGATCTTCTGTTCTGTGAATCTAGAAAAGCACAACACATAACAAATTAAAACAAAACAACAAAAACCAGCCATCCTCTGCATAGTTGGGGAACATTATATAAAAGAGAAGCCTGCATCCTAGTAATCTTACAGAAATTACTTCACATCGAAGGAGAAATATTCAGTTTCTATTTTAGGCCTTTTAGTAGCCAATATTAAGACATGCTTTCATCAAATATTTACATTAGGCTTAAATAAAATCTTAACTTCTATTATTCTGAAGCTCTCCATGAAAAGGAGGACACTTGCATCATGTTACCCCTTGGGGGTGTGCTGACCGTATAGAAAATCTTGCCTTTCTGCAGTAACATTTCCATGATTTCAGTGTGTCCACTTTGGGCAGCAAGAGCCAGAGGAGTGAATCCGTAGGAGCTCTGTGGGTCAGGGTGTGCCCCAGAAACCAACATCAGCTTCGCTATGCCCTGCCTGCCCAGTCTGGCTGCTTCGTGGAGAGCTGTCCTTCCGTTGGTACACCGCAGATTCACGTCTGCCCCAGAGCTGATCAGCAAGGAAGCCATCTCATAGGAGTTGCGCAGAACAGCTGGGAAATTAGAGGTGAAACAAAGATCATGTTCACCAGGAAATTATGGCCACAGTAGCTTATTAGCCAGTGCCCCTCAGGCTTCTTAAGGAGCTCTTCCTACCTACTCCCATGTGCCAGCATTTTGTGTTTAGGAAACAGATTGTAAAATGAGGCTATTAATATTAATTAATTAATATTAATGTTAATATCCAATAATATTAATAGTGTTTTACATCGATAGCCCATTGGCTTTTCTGTAAGCCATGAACAGTTATTGTCTCCTGCCTGCTCATGTGGCTGAAAAACATAAACATATAAAATTTTTGTTTATCATTTTTATGTTCTTCCCTCAAGAAAATGGGAACTTAAGTACCCACTACAGTCCTAGAAGTGCTTTTAAGTGCTTTAAACAAAGAAAAACAAAACCAGCAGTAATTAGGGAATTATTTTTTATTTTTTTAGAGAGAGAGAGCATGCCAGGGCAGAGGGAGAGGGAGAGAATCCCAAGCAGGCTCCATGCTCAGCTCATAGTCCAACTTGGGGTCAGTCTCACGACCCCGAGATCATGACCTGAGCTGAAATCAAGAGTCGGATGTTTAACTGACTGAGCCACCCAGGCACCCCAGGAAATTATTTTTAACCTCATTTTTGTTAAAATTTTCTAACTGGCTTTTCTGCATTTATGCTGTTATCATTCACATTTGGATGATAATCTTTAAGTCCTTCAAGATTCTGTGCCTGGGTGGCACTGTCAGTTAAGCGACTGACTCTTGGTGTCAGCTCGGGTTGTGATCTCAGGGTCCTGGGGTGGGAGAAGAGATCTGTAGCTCTGGCTACTTGTTCCTTAATATCTAGCACTCCTCCTATATTAGCTGCCTGTCCTTCACATGGGCTCCACGAGATAACCATCACCAATAACTTTTGGGCCTTTTGATATAATTGTGTTGCTTTCCCCATGAGCAAGTTAAGATTTGGCTTTCTTGTCACTGACTACTCATCCACCTGCTCTCCAGGTTTTAAAAAATTATGTTGCTGTTGCCTCCTCTCCTGTTCTTCTCATTCTTTCGTATCTTACCTCTTTAAAACAATTTCTTAACTATAATTGTAGTGAAGACTCGAGAGAGTAAAATCAGCCATTCATACTCAATCAGCCATCGGCTGTCTCGTCTTACTCTGCTCACCTCTTGTATTTCTTACACCTGAATTCACTGGCTAAGGCACTGTGCAAAGTGATCAGCTCACTGGCAGAGAGTTTGCACCAGGCCACCCCATGGGCCAGTCTATAGAAAGGTCAGGTACCCATGTCTGGTCAGTTGGAACCAGAAAGACAGCCCTGCAACTATGCACAAAAAGCTGCCTTCCATTTGCCACAACGTGGACGGAGCTAGAGAGTACTATGCTAAGCGAAGTCAGGGAAAGACAAGTACCATATGATTTCACTCATACATGGAATTTCAGAAACAGAACAAATGAGCAAAGGGGCCAGGGAAAGGAGAGAGAAAGAGGCAAACAAAGAAACAGACGCTTAACTGTAGAGAACACACGGATGGTTACCAGAGGGCGGGGGGGGATGGGTGAAACGGGGGATGGGGATGAAGGGGTGCGCTTGTCCTGATGAGCACCACGTGATGTACGGAAGTGTTGAATCACTATGTTGTTCACCTGAAACTAATATAGCACTGTATATTAACCGGAATTGAAATAAAAACTAAAAAAAAAAAAAAGTTGCCTTTGAAACATGTGGGCATGGAGGACACTCAGAATCACAGACTGTTTTCCAGAGACAAGGTATCAGTTTACCTGTAAGAAGAGACGAATTGCCTTCATTATTCTTGGCATTTGGATTGCAGCCACTGAGAAGAAGAAAATGGGCATTTTCCAAGAGGCAAGTGCTGACAGCCAAAAAAAGTGGCGTTTCACCATTGTGCGTGGTTTGCTCCCACATGCTGGGTTTTGAAGCTGAAATAAATCCATTAGCCCACACAGGTTAAGATAAAGAAATAAGTTTTACATTTATTTCTCAGAAGCATCAGGAAGAGTTGTAAAGGGAATTTACCTTTCAGGGTTATTTCCAAAATGTTCTTATTTAACTGCACTGCAGCCTTATGCAGAGGAAGCCAGCCTAGCCCATCTGCTTCATCAAAAGCAGAATGGTGCTTGGTCAAGTGTGACAATGCATCTTCCTTACCTGTTGACAAGTCAAATGGGAACAGATTCACATTTGGGACACACACACACACACACGAGGCAGCCCATGCTTCTGAATTCCACCATCGAGCTTAGTGCACGAGATGACAGAGTTCTAGCCCCATGCTTTATGAGAGACGTGTTAGAATGGCATGGGACGAGAAGCAGTAAGACCTTTCCCTTGTGCTCCCTATCCCCCTGGGCCTGTGGCTGCCCCCTCGGGTTATCACATCGCTCAGTCTGCCCAGGAGCCCAGCAGCGCTCTGCTAAACTGTGCTGTGGTACTTTCTCGCAGGTCTGGAGAATTAGCGGTGGGCCCCACAGCGTTGAGCATTTGGGAGAATCTGCTTCTGGGCTTCCCGAACTCAGCAGGGTAGTGCCGTGGTGTCAACATCACACCGTACCAGGAGCTGGAGGGGATGGAATATGAAGAGTACTTAACTGCCGCTATTGCTTCAATTATCTTCTTGTAGTCCGAGCTCAAAAAGGAGTGGAAGCTGCATAGGAAACAAATATATACGTAAGCCCCAAACTGAGGGAAAAATGAAGGCATTTGATAAAAACACAAAGGGTAAAGGCAATTGACATTAGCCAAGGATGAACTCTTATATGAGGCAGTTACTGAGGCTTCATGGAAATACTTCCACAGTATAATGTGACCCGAAACGCACTCCAGGAAAACTGCTGTCCCGTGTCTCTCTTTCTGTGGTGGGGGTGGGGGCATTCATGATTCCATCTGTCTTAAGTAACGTTTCCTAATGCCTTCAAGTGCCTGACCAAGTCAGCAAGCCTTCCTCTGTACCATATAACTCTTGCAAGTCTAATGACTGACATTTACACCTACAGTTAATTTTAATTTTTCTGAAACATTTCAATCATCAAAGTCTTCTATCTTTCAACCTAAAATCATGACTTAATTATTGAATGAACTTAAAAATTTTTCATCACAAGGTTAATAGAACAGATAATCTAAGAAAGCCAATTTCTTCACAAAACTTTAAAGATTATTCCTAAATGTAACACAAACGTGTAGGTATAGTGTGGTAAAGAGCACAGACTTTGAAGCCAGACTGCCTGCCTCTCACTAGCCCTGGGACCCTGGGTAACACTTACCTGTCTCCTCATCTCCACCCGAAACGCACTCCAGGAAAACTGCTCTCCTGTGTCTCTCTTTCTGGGGTGGGGGTGGGGGCATTCATTATTCCATCTGTCTTAAGTAACGTTTCCTAATGCCTTCAAGTGCCTGACCAAGTCAGCAAGATAAAAGGACTTAACCACATAGGTAACGAGAATCAAGTTTAAATGAGTCAATATTTGTGAAATGCTTAAAATAGTGTGGCACAAAGTAATCAGTCCATGAGTTTGTTACTTAAAAAAAAAAAAAAACAGTTTTAGTGTACTTCAACATCTCTACATTTAATTATAAAATCTCTTGGAGTTAAAACACATTTATCCAGTTTTACGTCCAGCAGGCCAAGAGAGGTCACCATCCCAAGCAAACAGGGTTTATCACCCCTCAAAAACAATAGTAACTACTTGGGGGGGAGGCTGCACATCAGCCAGAGAGTGTCTGAGCAGTTGTGCCTGGCTGTGGATGGTCCTCCTCTAGCGCGATCCTTTTTCACAGCACGGAGGGACATGTGGGGTCCTTTCCTAGTGCTGCCATTACAGAACTCTGAATATACACCCTTCAGAAAGGGTTAGTCTCTTCTGGGTTTAAGTCTACATAATTCCTCCTTTTGATTTGAATAAAGACTAGACCTTACCCCATCTTCCCACTGAGGTTGAGGATAATTTTCTGTGTGTATTGGTTGGATTTATGCATCCCCTTGGCTCCCCAAAGACAAGATACATTAGGGTTCTCTAGTGTTTCATATCCTTGTGCATTTTTTCTCATTTCCAGCTTGCAAGTTCTCAGCCAGAGTTGCTGCTAACCTCCTTCAACCGTTTACTCCCTAATTATAATCTGAATTATTTCCAAATTTCCCTGTCTGGCTGGTGAGACATCAAGTCTCATAGATATTTAAATGACAGCTCCTTGGATTTTGACCCTCTCTCCTGTTTTTATCACAACACCAGAACTGTGCTAATGACCCGTCTCCACTGCTGAATACTCACACTGCATCGCCCATGGGATACCATTACCTCTCATCTGCAGATGCCTGCTGTGTAGTCCTCAGCTGGTGAGTGTCCTGTAAGCTCTGCTGGATGATGAGCTGGGTATCAAAGTCCTCATCTGTGTCTTCATCACTGGTGTAACTATCCATGTGGAACGCTGACAGATTTAAAGTCAGAATGAACTAAAAATATTTTTCCAGTTGTGAAAACAAGATAAATACTTAAAATTACAAACAAAATTCAGAGAACTACAAAACTGATAGGATTAAGACAATGCAAAATTTAGAAAAAATATTCATTAAAATTTTCCCCCATAAATTTAAAGTAGTTTTCTGAACTGCCACAAATTCAACCTAAATTTGAAGTTTCCATGAGTAGCTACTTTTTAAAGCCTATTCAGGAAAAACAACCTTTCATATAAAACTTAGGTCAGTGCCATTTTAATTATGAAAATAAGGATTTATTTTAGACATGGCTTAGGAGTTCTCAGCCATTGTAGCATGCACCCAAAAGAACATCTTTATGCTGAAAATAACAGTAAATACTAAAAACAAACATATTATAGGACTATATGTACTCTTACAATACAACATATAAACAGTGATAATGGTAGTAAAAAACAATGTATTTTATTAGGCAATATCTCAATGGTTTTAAAAGAACATTTCTGTTTTAGCATAGAATAGGTTTGATTGCATACCAAAGACTTTTTACCTTCTGTTATATCCTTTAGGACAGCATGGAAGTTTTCACTGTCAAAGATTAGCACATCAGAATTTTCATTTATATTTAGGATCTCCACTCCCCTGTAGTAACCATTCCATTAATAGCTTTACTATAAATACCTGATCATAAGACGGTCTGGCATATTCTCCTTTTTTTTTTTTTTTTACATGTGGTTTAGCTCTCTTTGGAAACATGATCTCTTTTCTTCACTGCTGTATTCATCAAACTTAAACGACTAAAGTTTTTATTCCTGCTATAAAATGCTTTTGCAGGGGATTGGCTGTGTGAAGTGAATCCATTCTCTTAAGACTCATGCACATAGCCACTGCAGACCAGAATCAGTTTTCCACTTGAGAGGCCATTTTTCTCTGACCGATTTATCAAAGGGACTGTCCCAACCATCCTGATTCACTGGGTAGCTGCACCTACATTTTCTCTGGGTTACAGAGCTGCAGCCTCAAGTGTCCTGGGAATCCCAAGGAAGGAATTAATTCCACACAGGTAATAAAATTTTGACTATAGTTTTGTTTTGTTGAAATGTTTTAAAATTGTTAATCTATACTATTATGAATATATGTTAAATAGAATATTAACTATTAAACATAACAAAGAAACACTTGGCATTTCAATCAAACACAGAATCAATGCCAAGCAGCACAATATATGGCCGCGGGTGTGTAGACCTGCCCCCAGCCATCCACTGCCTTTGTACACAAACTTCACTGTGTGAGTTAACTTCCCTCAACACTGTGAGCCATGGAGCTAATGCTGTAAAAGTGTGATGTAAGGGGTTTAGTTCTGGAATTGGTATTTTCCTTATTTAGAATCACCTCTGGGGTGCCTAGGTGGCTCAGTCGTTAAGTGGCTGCCTTCGGCTCAGGTCATGATCCCAGACTCCTGGGATCGAGTCCTGCATCAGGCTCCCTGCTCAGCAGGAAGCCTGCTTCTCCCTCTCCCACTCCCCCTGCTTGTGTTCCTGCTCTCGCTGTGTCTCTGTCAAATAAATAAAATCTTAAAAAAAAAAAATCACCTCTGGTAGGTGAGTGGAAAGTCAACTATTACTGAAGCTGAAGAAATGACTTAACACTTGTGAAAACATGTTTTCTGATATTAAGTTTTATCCGGTTAGTCTCCCCAAATCTGTTTTTCACCTACATGTCAAGTAAATAAAAGTTTCAAAGGTTTCTCGTATGCTTCAAAGAAACATTTCTCTTCATGTTTTCTAGAAGGGCTATATTCCAGTCAAGCAAGAGTGGTACATCAGGGAGGAGGACCGTGAAAAGACCATTTAAAAGAAAGACCCATGGGGCGCCTGGGTGGCTCAGCTGGCTGAGTATCTCAGCTCAGGTCTTGATCTCGGGGTTGTGAGTTTAAGCGTTGTGTTGGACTCCACACTGGGCATAGAGCCTACTTAAAAAAAAAAAAAGAATGACACAAAGATACTTGGTTTTATAATATATATATTTTGAAGTAAGTGAAGACAACACAGATTTTTTTTTAATGTCTTTCAGATGTTTTCTTAAGTTTGTCCAATTTAGTTATCCAACTGACAAAGCAAGGCAACCCCACGCTTGATCCAGTGTTGAGTGGGTTGGTCTGTCTTTAACAGCATTGCAATAACAAAGTTAGTGGAATGTCCTGTAGTGGAAAGAGTTCCTTTACGTTCACTTGTCTTGTAGAGGGGACAGACGTAGGCATTCGACTTCACAATCTGAGACTTTTTGGCTTGGAAAAGAAAGAAATACATTCATTTGGTAAAGGGAAAACAGCCCCTGGGGCTAAAAGAACAACTATTTTAGTACTAAATCTAAGATTATGATTATAATATTTGAACATTTCAATGTTGTTACTGTTGTATGTTGTTATATACCATTGGTATATAATTAATGACTGTGAAACAAGACAAGTGATTTCATATGGTGCATGATTCTCGGTTTAGAGGATAGGAATCGATTCTAAGTCCTGATAACTTAGCAGGCATGAAAACACTCAAGAGGACTTGGGACAGGAGGAGAAGGTAGGGAAGAAGGAATAAAATACAGCACAGGCAATGCGGCAGATATATAAGGAGAGGACACTGCTGCTTAGAGCCCGAATACAAGAAATGGATAAATCAGAAGAAGCGGAAGTTACTATTTGCTTTCAGCAGGTTATTACTAGGGAAGACACACCGACTCTTACCTACTCACAGAAAGAACCTACATATTATCCTTGAAAAGCCTGATATGAGCTATTAGGAGTGTTTCTAAACTAAGGCTACATTTCTCATAGTTATAATTGAACTGCGTTAATAATGAAAATACTTAATGGGTTAGGTGGTGATTGTGGGATGATTTGGAAATGTTTCCATTGATAATTATCAGAGAACAAAAACACTAGAGAAGAAAGAAAAAACAAAAGAATGAGGCTCATTTGTTCAAACTCGGGGAAAAATGATGGTAGCAGAAGAAGGGAAGGAGTGAGTAGCTTTCCCAGGAGAGCAGAGTCGGCCTCCAGCCCCTGTGCCTTGCAGGTTTGTGCCTTCGGGCACTTGTCTGGCTCTTGGGCCTCGGAGTTCCCATAGCCAGAAGACTGTAGCCACCAGCCGTGTGTTTCTGAGAGGTGTGCAAAAGCATTTCAGAATCAAAATATTGATGGGAAGCCCCGGACTCTGGAAAACTAGAAGTGTGGGGGAGGGACAGAGAAAATGTTGCATCCCATGGGATAAGAGCACAAAGAGGCATGATGATATGCCCAGAATAACATGAATGCAACACGAAAAAGGGGAACAATATATTTCCAATGTAAACATTAAGTTGCTGTTTATTGTAATTGAACAAAGTCTTAATAGGTTTGAACAGAGAGTTAACTGGGGGATCCATTAAAAACACCCCTCTCTAAAACTCTTAGGAAATTTTGTTAGAAGTAGACTTACTTGGTTTTATCCATATGATGGGCATCAGGTCAAATAGAAGTTTGGGGTGTTGTTCGGCAAGCAATCCACTGTGAGGAGAAATTGACATGTTTATTAGAAATACGATGAAATTTGCTTCTAGAAATTGCTACTTAGATATCGGCTTTTAATAATACAAGAGAGGACCAGAAATATGCAGAGAAAGAAATATAAAACAAAACAAAACAAAGCCAAGGAAGAGGCAATGAATAATTGAAAGAAACGAAAGAAAATTATGGCAAGGCAATGTGTGCAAACAGTGGAAAAATATCAATTCCTGTCACTTAAAAAAAAAGATTTATTTATTTGAGAGAGAGAGTGCATGAGTGGGGTAGGGGCAGGAGAGAGGGAGAAGCAGACTCCCCACGGAGCAGGGAACCTGACGATCCGATCCCAGGACCCTGAGATCATGACCTGAGCTGAAGGCAGATGCTTAACTGACAAAGCCACCCAGGCGCCCCTGCCACTTTTTAAGTACCATTCATGAGGCCAACACTATCCTATCACATTTGGTCCTCACCGTGACCTTGTCCCTGTTCCTGTTCCACAGATGAAGAGTGGAGGTTCAGAGAGGTTGAGTAGTTTTCTCTCAGTAACACAGCCCTTACGTGCCAGAGTCAGAATTCAAACGCACCTCTGCCTGTCTAGAAAACGTGGTTTCTTTTCCCTATGTTTATTTGTTTGAAAAAAGGAGGGAAGGGACGAAGGGACGAAGGGAGGAAGAAGGAAGGAAAAGATGAATGAATACATATGTAAGGAAAAGTAAGCTAAGACAAATGTCAGTAGAGTGATGAAAAAGAAGAGAGAGAAAAATAACCACAGGAATGAGGTGGAGCTAAGTCTCCCCCTTGCCCTGTCTTGAAATGATCTCTCTAGAGCCTCCTTCTTGCTCCCCTCAAGCGATTCTCGGGGCCTCAGCCTTTAACCCTCCCTTGAGAGCAAAGCCTAACCCTGACCCTGGAAATAGAGGATTGTGCTTATTAGTGGACTGATAAAGAGCAGGGTTCCAAGGGAAATAATCTGTCCCCTTCCCTCTTACCTCTACGTATTTTTCCTTAAAGATTTATTTATTTTTTATTTTAGAGAGAGCGAGGACGAGCGGGAGGGGGAGAGGGAGAGGGAGAGAATCTCAAGCAGACTCCCGCTGAGCGCAGAGCCCTGAGGCAGGGCTCGGTCCCACCGCCCTAAGATCATAACCTGAGCAAGAACCAAGAGTCCCCTGTGTAACTGACTGAGCCACCCAGGTGCCCCTCCCCTGTGTATTTTAAACAAGAATAGCAATGCTCAGTTTTCCAAGCTGGAAATTCAGTATTTATTTTAAATATTTTTTTTATTATGTCATCAAAATCTGAGAGAAAGTTTTCCATTTACCAACAGAAATGGGAAGTTTACCATAACCATAAAATGTTTGAAAGTGGGGCACTCCTGCATGTTACGAGACAGAAGGTAACAGAGTCCTAAAACAGAAGAAGCGAGAAAATAATTTCAGCT